GGGAGCGGGCCGGGGCGGCGGGGAAGGCGCCCGGAGCGGGGGGAGGCTCGTAGTCAGTAAAACCAGCTCTCCCGGCAGTTTAGAGCTTGCTGAAGGACCAACGGGCACTCCCCCACCTTCTGTTAGGGATGGCTTAAGGGATGAGAAGTTTTGTTAAAAAAGGGAAAGCAGCACTCGTTTCTTGGAACCACCTCTTGTGAAAAACAGCCATAATTTCATTCATACCTAAACCCCGTGGCTAGCGGCGTGCCTAACCTTCCCCTGGCCCAACCTCGCGTCTGCAAAGCCCTCACCCGCTCGTACTCCTTCCAAATTTTGTCAATCATCCATAAACATTACGCATACCATATTCCCACAACCAAAGAAAGCACGTCCGTTCACAAAATAACCATTTAGAGGGCCAAATGGACAGCTTTGAAAGAGAGATTCAAGTATTGCTCCCACATACATTTCACACTAGAGCTTCTGGCCAAAATCCACCCATTCAGAAAAAAAAAAAAATCTGTTCTTTTGCTTCAGCTGTCAGAGTGTGGCTACAGACAAACAGTAAACAGGGAGCTGCTTGTACTCTCCGGCTGCTCAGATGACTTTTTTCTAAACCATGTTACAGCATCAGGAACAGGTGACAAAACAACTCAGAAAAAGGCCCCCGGAAAGGGAATGTATTTGTGTATTTGCAGTTTGAAGTGTAAACACCACAGAACAGTACAAACCAGATCTATAATTAGCAAGAGGCTCACCCATTGTTTGGTTCAACCGCAGGCTGCGCCGGTTGACTGATTGGTAGTGATACTGCAGAGGGAAGATTAAGCTTATTGTGTAAATCTGTATCTGGAATGTACAAAGTACCCTGTGTGAGAAACACAACCATGCCCTTAAAGAAAAATTAAAAAAAAAAGAGGAAGAAATGAAAAATGTCAAACAAGCTACTATGAAAAAGGAATGTCTGCAGTGGAAGAAGAGATAGAACTGCTTCTGCTAACATTGTATTAGCACATCTCAACTGGGCAGTCACGCTGCAGGTGCTTTGGGGCACCTCCTTTGAAAAAACCCACGCCAAGCTGGCATGCAAAGCGTGAAGCAATGTAAAATGAAATTACTTTTTGTGGGGTAAAAGATGAACACATCTTTTGGAAAAAGCAGCTTTGCCGTTAAAAAGGCATCACAGAGCAAGATAAAGCACAAGTGTTACAAAGGCTGTGTAGAAGGCTTGAGTTGGGGAAGAATTCAAACTTCACAGTTTGGGTGTCAGATTAAATGCAAAATTTTTTGGATGTCAAAGTGCAGTCTCAGTGCTGATATAAAAAAAAAGTCCTCGCAACACAGACACGCAGTGCTAATGATGTCGACGAATCTTTTCTTCTCACCAGTCATATCTTTGGCTCTATTTTTGCTGTGCATTGAGCTTCAACATTTCACGGTCAATGAATTTCACTTGAATTTCCATTATTCTTGTGCATTACCTAGCTCACTATCTCTGGGAATAGGCTAGATATCAAATAACTAAGTAAAAATATTCCTGAGTTTCTGCACAGTATCACATTTTCTTAATAATGATCCATTAAATCTTAAAGTCATTTTCACCCAAATGCCATTCCTTCTTTTCAAAATTATATACTTCCAGTCTCATATGAGGCAGCGATCTGCAACAATGTCATATTGCTTAATTTTGACTCTTCGACTCCCTTGGAAGACATGTTTCCCTTCTACAGTAACAAACCCACCTCTCCTTGGTTCACTTTGGCAGCAAGACAAAAGGAGACTGCCTCAGGGTGACAGTCTAACATAATTTCAGCAGCTCCTGTATTTATGGCTGTATTTTCTTTTCCACAGTTCACAAACCAAAATAACAATCTTTCCCACAGTGCAATTAAGGACTACATGTACACCAGGACAAGCCACAGCAAGTTTACTACAAGAAAATAAATACTGGAGCCAGAAAGGAGGACCAAAACCACATTTTCTTAGTGTAAGATTTTTTTCATATATTACAAAATTACAGTTTCAATAAAGTAGTAGAAAAATAGGAAATTATTTGGAAAGCGCCTGCAAAATACAAGCACTTCCTCAAAAGGCATTAGTTATCCAAACTACTACATAGAAATGATCCAAACATTCAGTGAACTACTGAGACGGTCCCAATCAATATACTGAGCACAGAGGTTGAAAAAAATGGAAAAGTACGTTTTTACTAAAAGGCCTGTCTCAAACTGGGAAAAGCCAGCTCTCAGCTACCATTCTGGAATCCAACTTCACTCGTGTCAGTATCATGTTCCTTAAGTAAGGGAAAAGGAGAAAAAAAAAAGAAAAAAAAGAATTTTAACAATAGGGTACAGATT